AATATCGACGTCATAAACACCAAATTTGATCGTGTTTATGACGTCGAATATCGACGTCATAAACACCAAAGTTGATGGTGTTTATGACGTCGAATATCGACGTCATAAACACCAAAGTTGATCGTGTTTATCACGTCGATTATCGACGTCATCAACACCAAACTTGATGGTGTTTATGACGTCGAATATCGACGTCATAAACACCAAATTTGATCGTGTTTATGATGTCGAATATCGACGTCATAAACACCAAAGTTGATCGTGTTTATGACGTCGAATATCGACGTCATAAACACCAAAGTTGATCGTGTTTACGACGTCCAATATCGACGTCATAAACACCAAAGTTGATGGTGTTTATGACGTCGAATATCGACGTCATAAACACCAAAGTTGATCGTGTTTATCACGTCGATTATCGACGTCATCAACACCAAACTTGATGGTGTTTATGACGTCGAATATCGACGTCATAAACACCAAATTTGATCGTGTTTATGATGTCGAATATCGACGTCATAAACACCAAAGTTGATCCGTCCAATATCGACGTCATAAACATCTAAGTTTATCGTGTTTATGACGTCGAATATCGACGCCATAAACACCAAAGTTGACCGTGTTTATGACGTCGAATATCGACGTCATAAACACCAAAGTTGACGTGTTTATGAATATCGACGTCATAAACACCAAAGTTGATCGTGTTTATGACGTCGAATATCGACGTCATAAACACCAAAGTTGATCGTGTTTATGACGTCGAATATCGACGTCATAAACACCAAAGTTGATCGTGTTTATGACGTCGAAAACACCAAAGTTGATCGTGTTTATGACGTCGAATATCGACGTCATAAACCCCAAAGTTGATCGTGTTTATGACGTCGAATATCGACGTCATAAACACCAAAGTTGATCGTGTTTATGCGTCGAATATCGACGTCATAAACACAAAGTTGATCGTGTTTATGACGTCGAATATCGACGTCATAAACACCAAAGTTGATCGTGTTTATGACGTCGAATATCGACGTCATAAACACCAAAGTTGATCGTGTTTATGACGTCGAATATCGACGACATAAACAAAAAAAGTTGATCGTGTTTATGACGTCGAATATCGACGTCATAAACACCAAAGTTGATCGTGTTTATGACGTCGAATATCGACGTCATAAACACCATGTTTATGACGTCGAATATCGACGTCATAAACACCAAAGTTGATC